GGCATCTAAGCAGAGAACTAATCGCTTAATAGTATTGTTTTATCGTTTGTTTTCTTGAGAGCAAGAAGGCAAAGTGGAAGTCAAGAAGTAAGAATGGACATCATGAAAACATCAGTAAGAATTTCTGTTCTAAAAGTAAGCTAGAGAAGGAGTCTGTAAATACTTACAATTCCACATTAATCATAAATTATTTTTCTTGAGTTCCTATATTCAAGTTTGTTTAAATAAGAGGTTGACATAATCTCTGTTTATGCTTGTGTGTGCATAGCAGTATATTTGGAGATGCTCAGGTAGTAGAAAATGGTGGGCCAGTAACTCAGTCACTCTGTTATAGCAAGAAAGAATTTAAAACATCCCTATAATATTATAGAAATAGTTGCTAGTCAAAAATGGATTTCTTTGGTTCCCAGTCCTTAACAACACATTTCTCTGGTCTTGAGTCAACAGATGGGTTGCTCATTACAAGATGAAGAAAATCCAGCAGAACTGTGTGGAGCACTGAGGGCGTAGCAAAATAATGGATCGTCAGTACCAGATGGATGTATGTATTTCTTAAAATTCCCATGTTTTTATGTAGCAATATAGATGGCTCTACTTATCTTGTCCTTAGTACACTTCAAATACTTTGATTCCAGCCTGTTCTGACTTCCTTGTCAGTACCAACTGGGGTACAAATTATCTCACTTGACATCAAACCTGTAACCGTTAGGTGTGAAGTTAAGCTGGCTGAAGATCAGATTTGGCTGCTATGGACGTTCTAAGTGCATCTACAGAGGAAGCTTAATCTTTCCCATCCCAGATGGCTGTCTTGAAAGGGTATGGATTGCTATCATTAATCACTCCTTTCTCTTATATAGGGAATGTAAATACTAACTTAAGGAAATATGTCTAATTTTTGGATGGCTGATTCTAGAGAGCAGAAATTCTATTTTAAGGAGGCACACAAATCCTTCCATGCGGTACTGTTCTTTCTGGGATGTGGTGTCTTATGTACTTTGAGGAAGATAACAATTTAACTGCTCTGTCCTGTACTCCTGGTGTATTTGTTTGGTTCTGGGGGTGTACTGGTCCATTGGGATCCTTGGTATGAAAGGCACTCAGAGTCTGTAAGATACCATTTGACCTGCTGTTTATTAATCGAATGCTAT